TTAGAATTTTTCCAACCTGACTGAAAATCCTGTATATCAAAACAACTAAAAACAATATTTTTACAGCTTTTTGGCATTTCCCCAGAAATGGGTAATAATAAGATCATATTTGATTGTTTACAAATGTCAAATGAAAAGATCACTTCTTTGAGAGCTGATTTGCTGCAGATACTCATGATTAAATAAGAAACCTTGTCATATATTTCCCCTAAATTTCTCTACCTTATAATGTGTCAAGAAGCTTAAAATAGTGACCTATTACAGCAGCTCATCCGTACCACTCATTGCATAGTAAGTACGTGGCACTCAGATCTATGATTAATTTTTTAATACTGTAGATCATATCTCGCATTAATTAAAGTATCATAGTAAGGAGACCACCATTCTAAAATATATTATTCTGACCTCGTCATTCTGCATTGCCTTTAGATGTTTAATGTAAAAAAAAATATGATTTTCTTTACCGAGATCCATCTTTCAGATAAATGTTACCTTTTAAGTGTAATTTAGTTACCCATATCTTGTCATGCTTCATGACGAGGGTACTAGTTAAAAACAATGCCAGGTTGAATTAACGTGCACAATGATATGCTGAATTCATAGGGAAAATAAATGGAGAATGTCTCCCCATGCACACAGATGATGCACCCGCTTGCATACAACATTATAAAGGGACATAGCTCAAGAACGATAAAAGTGACACTACCCAAATTTGTACTTTATCTGAGTTTTAAGGTAATAAGTATTGTGTATAGGTTTCATAATGTTTGGTTGAGGCAAACTTAAGTTACAGAACAGAAACTAAAAATTTAGCAATTTTTCGATTTATAAAGGGGCATAACTCGATAATAATTAAAGTGATGCTACCAAAATTCAACTTGATCTGTGTTTTGTGGTAAAAAGCATGTGTATAAGTTTCATAACATTTGGTTGAGGCAAACTTAAGTTTAAGAACGGAAACTAAAAATTTTGCAATTTTTCCATTTATAAAGGGACATAACTCTAGAATGGTTAAAGTGACACCACCAAAATTCAAACTTTATCTGTGTTTTGTGGTAATAAGCGTTGTGTATAAGTTTCATAACATTTGGTTGAGGCAAACTTAAGTTAGAAAACGGAAACTAAAAATTTTGTAAATTTTCCATTTATAAAGGGGCATAACTCTAGATCGGTTAGAGTGATGCTACCAAAATTCAAACTTGATCAGTATTTGGTGGTAATAAGCATTGTGTATAGGTTTCATAATGTTTAGTTGGGGCAAACTTAAGATACAGAACAGAAACTCGATAATTAAAGTGACACTACCAAAATTCAACTTGATCTGTGTTTTGTGGTAATAAGCATTGTGTATAAGTTTCATAACATTTGGTTGAGTCAAACTTAAGTTTAAGAACAGAAACTAAAAAATTTGCAATTTTTCCATTTATAAAGGGGCATAACTCTAAAATGGTTAAAGTGACACTACCAAAATTCAATCTTGATCTGTGTTTTGTGGTAATAAGCATTGTGTATAAGTTTCATAACATTTGGTTGAGGCAAACTTAAGTAAGAGAACGGAAACTAAACATTTTGCAATTTTTCCATTTATAAAGGGGCAAAACTCTAGAACGGTTAAAGTGACGGCACCAAAATTCAAACTTGATCTGTGTTTTGTCACAAATTGTGGTAATAAGCATTGTGTATAAATTTCATAACATTTGGTTCTGGCAAACTAAAGTTAGAGAACGGAAACCAACTTTGGGACTAACGCACAGACGGATGTACGGACATACAGAGGGAAAAGGGTAAAACTTAATGCCCCCTCCGCTAATGCGGGGGCATAAAAATGTTTCTTATGATTAAATATTTCAGGAAATTCCGTCATGCAAATTAAGCCATGAATGTTGTTGTTCCAGGTAACCAAAATATGTGTGTGCAAGTATTAATATTTTTAAAATAGCTGGAAATTTGGTTGTCTGTGCATGTAATTTTACAATATATATGTGCACAGAAAATCAGACAAAATATGTGATTCCTTCATACTAATCTGATCCTCAGCTGCAGAACCCCGCCAATATCAGTGAGGAGCACTAGATGAATTCACCAAATAAATGAAATTCAATGAACTAGAGCCATGTTTACACCAATCCCTCTCATCAAAATATTTCATCCCAACATTTTTATTCACATAAAACTCATCATTTCTTCCACTTTCATTGAATGAAATCAAGAGGATAGACTAAAATTTTGATATAGGCCTGGTCAAACATGTGAAGGAAATTCCCAACTTGTGTATGCAATCACTTGCTAATTAAGCACAATAACCAAGAATTTACATTCATTTTGCTTTTCAGAATATAGGAAGTAATTATATTTTATAATACTTATAATAACGAATGAATTTTTTCTTGGTCAGACATGTGTTGATACCAAACCCGGTACCTACCACCTCATTATAATATCATACTGAAAAAGATAGAAGAATTTTTTGATATTCCTGATCATTTTTACAAAACATGGATATCTTCTGACCAATAACGGCAAGTCACAGCATCAAAAGCAAAAATTTGAATTTTTTTTTTTTCTTTTTCCATATTTTGCTGATAAATGAACTCGTGTCATTTTGCAGTCAACAAGTAAATGTGCATGTCTAAGCAGGGGTTTATTTTTTACACTATCTTTGTGATTTTATATTTTACCTTATAAAAGATATTTGGTGTAATGGCATGTTTGGAAGTGTCTGTTAAATCGATTCACCACTTGTCTACTTGGGAGGTTAACAAAAGTTAAAATACTGTACACTGATCTCTAAATGTCTCTTCTTTGTGTTGTTTGATTGCTGTCTCATTGATGTGTAAACTACATCTCAATTTATTCATATTGAGGTTTAAAAATCTATTAATATAAAGGAGTATTGCTAGAGTTGTATCTAAACTTGTTATAAGGGTTGTGCTCTATGGTTCATCACTGGACCTTTGATTCTAGCCACTGTCATGATAAATAACAGCAATAAATTTCTTTTGCTTTTAAAGATGATATCAATTACAATATTAATCAAATAAAATGTTCTAGGATCAAAATGTATGTTTAGACAGCAAATCTTTTAACAAAAGGCATGAACGGTTTTCTCTATAACCTGAACCTTCCCTCAAGCTTCATATAAGGTGTATTGATACCAAATGACAAATCTATGAAGGAATGATAATAAAGACCACTAAACACCAAAATCAAATTTAAACACTAACATCAGTCCTTTCCTGGATTTAGATATTTCTGTTTTACACGGGAAACTCCACACTAAAATTTACGACAAAAGGGATGATTTTTTGTTCCCTATTGTTAATTTTCCCTTTTTGGATGGCGATGTTCCTTTGGCACCATCTTACGGTGTTTATATTTCACAACTCGTTCGCTATGCCCGTGTCTGTAGTGACGTTTTTGATTTTAACGAACGTAATCTATGTATTACTGGTAAATTATCAAACCAGGGATTTCGTTACCACAAATTACTTAAAACCTTCACTAAATTCTTCCACAGATATAAAGATTTGGTTTTGAAGTTTGGTTGTACCTGTAGAAAACTTATTTCAAACGGGATTGCACATCCTCATTTTTACGACAATATTGTTTACAGTGCCCGGAAATTTAGAAACAATCCTGGTAAACTTATCGATCCTTTAAATAAACTTATAAGGTTACCAATTCAACACTGTAATTAGATCATTATATATTGTTTTTATTGGTACTAATATTGATTTTGTTATCAGTAAATAAAAAGCAAACTAAATATTATTGTTATATACATATACACATTCATGGATCTACAATCTGTCGATACCTGTATCTTGGCATTGCACAAGGTCATGTTTTTCTCTGACTGTTTATGACGTCTTTACACTAAATCCATTGGATGTTGGATGTGTAAGGATTGATAATTTAGTCTTAGATGCATGATTATTTTTTTACTAGTTGTTAGTGGCTTTGAAATAGCTGTCAGTAACTGCGAGTACTCTCAGATCTGGACTTAGTGTCTTTTTGTTGTTTGGATGTACAAGTACCCGGCCACGTCCACTTGTATTTGTATTATTTATATTTTTATCCATCTGATGAGTTAAGCATCTTTTAACTGATTTTTATAGTTCGTTCTTTTGTTGTACTGTTACACCAGTCCCAGGTTAGGGGGAGGGTTGGGATCCCGCTAACATGTTTAACCCCGCCACATTCTGTATGTATGTGCCTGTCCCAAGTCAGGAACCTGTAATTGAGTGGTTGTCGTTTGTTTATGTGTTACATATTTGTTTTTCGTTCATTTTTTGTACATAAATTAGGCTGTTAGTTTTCTCGTTTGAATTGTTTTACATTGTCATTTCAGGGCCTTTTATAGCTGACTGTGTGGTATGGGCTTTGCTCATTGTTGAAGGCCGTACGGTGACCTATAGTTTTTAATCTGTGTCATTTGGTCTCTTGTGGAGAGTTGTCTCATTGGCAATCATACCTTTCTTTCTTTTTTATACCTCATGCTTTACTGAATCCGTGATATAATAATTCTACAAAAAACATATTCCCCTAACAAGAACAACACTTGTGTCTCACCAACAACCAAAGTCTATAAAAGGGAAAAAACTACAGGTAAGCAACATTATATGACATCATAAGTTACATAATTTTGAATATAGACCTGTATTGTGATTAACCACTGATATCAAGGTCAGATCATCATCCTGATCATGTCCTTCACATCTTGATGTATTGATGAATGAGTTCAATATGTCAGTGATTCAATCATCCTTGCTATACCAAAATCCTTTTAATTGGTCAGACATTTCAAATTTAGTTTTTTCAACGATTTTGTGTAGTCTGGTCAATGTATTAACTGGGAGAGGCAGATGGACAGAAACAAAAACTGTATGACCTGGAGCATAAAGACATAAAGCTCTATATCTGGTGCAGATGGACACATATTCCAGCACTATATGCACCACTTCTATCATAGAACAGGCATAAATAAACACACAAAAATATGAATTTTTCACCTTTATTGTGTGATATATAGTTATGCAGATCTACTGCAATTAATTGTGGTCAACTTTTAAAATCTTTCATTCATCCCTTTTTCCCTCTCCCATTCTTTCCTATCACATTCACACACATATCACAATACACATGTACAGTGTTTTGTTTTCAAACTTATATAATGATTGTATGACTAATGAGCTGTTACAAGATTTGAGTATTTTATTTTCACTTTGAAAAATGATAAAAATATGAATTTCAATCAACAAATAAGAAATTTTTTCAGTTTCATATATTTAATTAAAAAATATGAGAAATTTGGAAAAAAAAGTCAACTTCTGTAGGATTTTCTTCACTTTTTAAATTATTTCCAAAAAAATTTCAATATATATTTAACACAATGATCTTATAATGAAATGAATGGATATAGTACCCTGTTAGTGCATTTGGTCAGTGCCATTTTTTTTCTCTCTCTACCTATAAGTGTTTTTTACGTAACAAATATTGCACTCTAAAAATAAACACTGCATGACTAACACACACACTGTCTCCACACTGACTCATAACGTAACCACCTCTTGTGCCAACCACAATCACCTAAACATATTCAAAACAAGGGAAAAAAACAATATATTGTATAATTAAAAACCCAAAACAATAAATAACACTCTATCACGTAGACAGACCTTTAACTGAAAATAATCATAATTTATAGATTTTTTTTTATAAGTTAAGACATTTTAAAAACAAATACATTTTCACATTGTGTTACAAAGACATGTTTGTGTCTTTTATAAACGATCAACAAAGTATTTACAATATCTATATATGTACGTCATGATGTATTGCATATTTGAACTATAAATTGTCAACAACAACATGGCTAATTCCCCTACTTTCATTTCATACAAAAACCTAAATATCAGGTTTCTGGGACTCTACCTTAACTTTATACATCACAGTTTCTTTTCTTTGTCTCTCTTTCAATAACTTTTAGAAAATCAGAAATATTAAATTCATGAATTTTTTTGTACTATTCATTAATGTTCTTTTTTTTATATTTAAATGAAAGACAAAATTCCCTTTAATAATTTTAAATAGATGAACTTTCATTTTAATGGAAAAATAAAGTTTCAATTAAATTACAAATAATATACTTTGTTTTAAATTTATTTATAGTATCTGTTCACAATATTATTTATTATGCTTTTACTTATATAGATTTAACAATTAAATACAGAATTGCACTTTCAAATGGATTTCTCCCTTAAATAACTTAAATATGGCACAAAATCAGAAGAAGAAAAAGATTTCATTAAAGATACAATTGAAATACATACAGATGTTTAACTTACTGAAAACATTTTAGAATACATATAAGAAAGATTATCACATTTCAGAGTTTATATAGTTTGAAGTAAGTATCTGAAAATCACTGTTCTTGAATAACACATCATCCATTTAACTTTCTAGAGACAACACTCCTTATCTTCAACACACAACAGCCCCAAATGTTTAGGGCTATCTATGGCCTATCAGACTTCAGTCCCCTGAGGTACATCATACTGTTGAGACAGAAATCCTTTGGACCGACCCTTTTTCCCCGATGATAGTAAGGATGATGAAGATGGTCCCTTAATAACTAACAAGTTCTGACTGGTCTGTGTACCTAGTGACTCGCCACTGCTGTTCACGCCTTGTGAGCTTCCTGAGGCCTGCAAAGATTTATAATCAGATATAACTGACTATTCTGAATGATCAAATAATGTTCATACTTTGTTAATAATTCACAATAATAACATATTTCTATGTTTTAAATTCATGTGGATTTTCCCAGTTATAATAGAAAAGTAACAATACAATCTTGAAATGAGAACAGCCATGAAGACATAAAATATGAATATGTGCTATACAAAAGGATATATTTCATTTTAATTATATCTACAAATTTAAATAAACAAAAACATATTATTTCATTGTCATTTCACTTAAAGTAGTGTTTAAAGCATCAAAGTTTGATTTTTTTCCCCATTTAGTAGCCAGATTTGCTATTTTATAGAATGTCGAGAGTCAACTTCCTTATATAAAATATAAACTACACCTTTCAACCAGGCGAAAAATATTTTATATAGAAAGGTGCTGATGGGTAAGATACACATCCTCAGGCCAAAAAATAATATATGTTTGTTTCCTGCCTCCAACCATTATAAAATAGGGTTGGTAGGTTGGGATTTTATTTAATTTTTATCCATATTAACAAAATCCAGAAAAATTTCATATTTTGTCCGAGTTTGATACCGTTATACACTTATGCATCTATTAATTTGTGCATGATTGTTGATATGTTTATAACGTTCAATGGTTTGACAAGTTCTCCACTTGATATGCATCGAAATTATTACAAGTTTGAGAGGAAATTGGATTCATAGTCAAATAAGTTAACTCATGACTTTTTTTCTGGAAAATGTTTTAGGGTCAGGATGAACTTAGGGTCGGTCAGGAGGCAGGGAACAAGCATTTATATTTTTTTTGGCCTCACAGAAAATTAAGTTGGCCCAAGCATCTTGCAAATGAAGCCTAAAGCAAAATTTATCTGATTTACATATTAATCAATGTTGAATTATGAGTTTCATCTTCACAGTGCACAGCAATAAAATCACAACGATCCTAACTTTCTGAATATCTATTTATCACATTTTTTGGCATATTTTATCATTCAAAGCCTTTCATAAAATTTTTGGCCAAATACTGAATATATTGATTTGTAAATATACTCAACTGCTTTCTTTAAAATGAAAAATCTATAATTTACAAGCAAAGACTAAGTTTTATTATGTTCAAAATAATGGATTTGTTATCTTGATTTTACGATTTGCTGTATCTAAACTTTTGCTGTTGATAAATATACTTACAACTCCACTGTCTAATGATCCACCACTACTACCTCTCCTCATCCCCGGAACTGTAACAGAAAACACACCTAATTACTTCCCTTGTAGAAAAACCACAGCCATAAAAATATCCAGTAATCTCCCTTTGACCAATTTAATACCCTTTCATCAACAAAGCTTAAAAACATACGTAATTTCTGTATTTTTATAAAAGCTGTAAAATATTTGTGTATATCCTAAACCCTTTTATACTGTAAAAAATATATACTGTTGCTAAAAATAAAACTGGTGAAGTATAAAATATTAAAATGTACAACAATCATAAGCACATTGAACATAGAAATCACAAACATGTACATGTAATACACAACTCAAATGTGTATGCACTGAACAAAAAAAAACAAACAAACAAACACCTAATATGAACATCCACAATATGTCAGTTAACTTTGAATTGCATTGCTTTTTGTTTTCTTTAATTCAAACTGTTTTTAAAAGTCATATAGTCGGATATAAAAGTTTAAAAATCCCAAGAATTAACGAGAATTTTCTTACTTGATAATTGAGAGGAAGGATAAACTATGTGAATTTGTTTTTATATCAAATGAGCCTTTCATATATAAATTTTATCACTAATGAAATCACACAGATATGGCTTATGATTAATATTCTCAACAATTTTAAAATCTGTGATCAAGAAATTCTGGAATTTGTTTTTATTTTGGCATTTGAAGGTGAAAGCAAGCTTGGATAATTTGCTGTAAAATAATAAATTTATATCTCCAAGGCAACGTAACAAATAAACAACAAATAAAGCTATGATAAAAATTGGAAATATCAGGAGAAAAAATATCCATAAAATAATAAGTAAATAAACTTTAGTTTCTTCAAATGAGGCTCCAGACTTCAATGATGAATATCATTTAAAATCTGCTTTGATCAGTCAAAACAATGAAATCCTCCTCTTTTGAAGAAACATTAAAATAAAAAGTGTATGAAATGAAGACTGCATGAATAGTCGTTAGATGAACGATAGCTACGGTATATATTTATATATATATACGTTTTAATGCATTTTAATATGTCAGTTTCGACATGCATGTGAGAAATCAGAAATAAGTAAAAAGATATTTATTGATAATACAAGTCAAGAATGAAGATATGCTAAGCTTGACATGATGAAATGACTAACTCTGTTATTGTATCAAACTAGATAATATAGTTTTTGCAATGCAACAATTTTCAAGATACGTCAATAAATAGGACTGTTGTTTTGAGATTAATTCTATAATGAAGTCAATCTTTTGCTGATTCGGTAAACATTTGTTTTTAGATCTTTATCTGATAATGACATAATTTTAGAAAAACGAAGAAAAAAATAACAGGTTTATAAACAAAAACACAATGATTTCATTTTGTTTGAATTTTACTTTTATCTTATACTTTTTTAATGAAGCTTTGGGAGTTATTTAAAAATTTCAGAAATAGACCTTCTCTTTCACTTAAGAGTAAAAAGACAGCCTTTTTCATAAAATTTTTCTTGAAACTCTTTATTGAAATCAATAAAAAGAAAAATTGCAAGATTTAATAAAAAGTCAAAACTTTTTTTAATATTTTCAGCAAAAGATCGAACATAGTATGCAGTCTTCTATTCATACTAAGTCACAACATGCATACCTTCACTAAGGTCAGTGAGAGAATTGGACAGATGAAGCTGTTTCAAGCCGCCACATTCAGGGGCAGATAATCTATTTAATGCAGGATCAGAAGGCTTTGATAATTCGTACATTAAAACTCTGGAGTCATCATTAGCGTATCTTTCTATGGAATTATGGTTAGCACTCTGTTTATGTAATTCATCTTCTATTCTCAGTTGTTCCATTCCATTGCACTAAAATTAAAAAAAAGAAAATGTATCATTTCTTGTTATTGAAATGCCTCAAAATACAGTAAACACTAACATCGGCTCTCGGTCGTAAAACTTTTATCAGTACTCAGAGTACTGAAACACCAAATCCAGTATTTTGCTTGGCCGAAGTCAGAGTACGCTTATTGTACTCAGTATTTTTATGACAGCAAGTCCAGGAATGAGGACTTCTTGCACTATAAAGTACAGCGCCCAGTCTAAATTTGATTTTGATGCACTTAAATTGTTATCTTCCTAGTAATTAGTACTCCATGCTTTTGATATTGAGAGATCAGCATGGTAACTTAAAGATTAGTTTACAATTACAAGTTAAGTTGAGGATTCTGGCAAATTTTCATGTACATAAAGTGCATTTATATGATCCACCTAATGTCTCTTTTTGTAACTTCCTCATTTTAGTGCACTTTATACGTTGTTTTTTTTTTTCAAAAGTGAATCATTAATTTTTCATCTGGTGCCAAGTTTTTCCAACTTCCTGATTTGAAAACACAAAGTTTTTTGATAACACCTAACATTTTAAAGATTATAAAACAGATAATTTACAAAAACAAACTCATCAGGACATCTTACACAAATTTTCAGATTTCATTTGAAAAAAAAAATCATTTCATTTTTGTAGTTGAACATCGGCAGATAAGATGTAAGTTTCCACTAGCAGACAATGTTCCTGATACGAAATTGATTAGGTAACATACATCAGTTATCTATTTCATTGGAAATCAACCTGATTCCTTGATTAGTGTATCAGTCAACATTGCATAATGAAAACAGATTTTAACTAAATTTGCTAGACTGGAAATTTACATTTTTCTTGCATTGTCTACACCTTCAAGGTTAAACAAAACATATTTCTACTATAATTTCTCAAAGGTGCTTTTAACTTTATAGTATCGTAAAAAGATCAAACATTTAGTGTATAAAAAGCTGCCAAATAAAATATTTTATTTCAAAAGTTGTTGCATCATGAGAGTTCAAAGTCAATAAATACTATCAATTATAAAAGTTTTACAACTACTACAGAACATATGGAAAGGATTAAGCATTTCATCTGTCATTACAATTCTGAGCTAGTACTGAAAAAAACTTTTAAAGAGTTTATTTACAGTATTGAAACAGTCATCTGAATTTGTCAATAGATTTTGTTTTAGAGATGAAATAGCAAATGTAAGCATACAAACAACCCATAGTAAATAAACTAATAAAAATATTTATTTTTTTTTCTGTAACAACAAGCCTGAATTTTAATCTTTTACAGTGAAAATGTATTTCAAAAACTAGGAAAACAGCAAAATTACTTTTATACACATTTTCAAGGTAGTAAAAACCTCTATAGATCGTAAGTTTCGGAAGTTTCAAACATAGAACATATTAAGCAAATGGAGCTCGATATCAAAATTCATGATAGTTATTAATCCCAAAATCCTACTTTATGAATGAGAGTACCTTTAAAGAATTCAACGTAACACTTTGATGCAATTTTTCTTATGAAAATTTAAAAACATTTTCTTTTAGTATGACTTATTTCTAAAGAAACAGTCTTTTACCCAAGCAACCGATTGAAAGTCAAAGCCATGGTCATCCAAAGTACACATTTTTTCATAGGTTCTTATTAAGGTTTGTATATTTAAGATTTTGTGATGTTCACCTCTGCTATTGCCTCTTTTAAATCTCCAACAAACTTCTGTCTATCATGGTCATTTCTGGCATTGAATGTGATTAAGGTTTTACCATCTAAACCGTTCGTCAATCGTACACCAAACTGGTAATCTGAAATTAAAAATAAATGAGTTCTCAATCCGTTGGAATCAACTCCTCATTTTCATATCTAATTCTTTTACATTTCATAAACAAAAGTAAATGAAAACAGTTTAATGCAGTCATACATTTCATGATCTATAAAATTGTAAGCATCAAGTTCTGTTAATTCAGAAATTATTGCAAGGTTTTTATTATTGGGAATAATGCGACTGGATGAGTATCTCAATAATAAGAACTTGCATGCTAACATCTGACACCTGTATTTGTAAGCAGCTTTTCATGTAATCGCAACAATCATTCTCACATTGGTCTGTCATGTAAAAAATTGACAAAATCACACATAAATGCACACAAAAATTTCTGAATTTACAGTATAAATTCCCAGTAAGTATCAGCTTTGAAAATGTGATTTCACATTTCCTTATCAAAATTGTAAATCGATCCCCTAATTTTTTGTTTTGTTTTATTCTAAATATTTCAAAAAGTCAGTCAAAATCAAAATTGTCATCTGATGCAATAACATACAAGAGGTCAATAATCTACACAAAACACAATGCATACCGCAAACTATAAGGAACTTCCTATTAGACAAATGCTGGTAGTTTTTGCAGTTTGAAAAGGCAATGTTGTGACATGATTCAGGAAGTCTGCATATATATCAGTTTTATTTAATCATGAAATTAACATTAAAATCATTACTATAATGTTCATTTCATGACATTAATAGAAGTTATATATTTTACAAGCAAAAAATCTAAGAATGATATTCAAATTTTCAAATTTTACATGTATGTTTCATAATAAACATAGAAGTATTGTTTACACTTCATAGACAAACTTCAGAAGTCCTCCTATGGTAATTTAAAGTAACATTTTTATTTCTATCTGCTAAGAAAAATTTAGCAACACATACAACTACACATTTCTAAAATTTGAACAAATGTGCATTTTTGTCACTTTGTTGTACAGTTTTTTTTTCTTTTTTCCTTAGTTTTATAGGTTTGCAAACCATCTCTCATTCTAATGAAACCACTCAGCCAAATGCTCAATTGGATTGTTAGTTTCTCCTAACAGTAAGATTGACTGTTTGTTAACACACAGATATTTCTCTCCTGTGTAACCTTATCACAAATTTTAACAATTGTTGACACTGCTTGTGTTGGAAACAGCATGCCTAAGTCTTGACTCAGAAACTTTCTTACAGTTGAGACAAAACAGCGATTGTCTTGTGAATCATATACATTTTAAAGTGCCAGATATATACTTACGTGATGTTTCATACAAGTATACATGCATGCCAGCCAATGTAAAGGATTGTTTAAACGAGTATGTAATGCCACTTTTCTTTTTACTTAATATTTTTGTCACCTGAAATACAAAAAAAAATAATTTTGAACTGTCAACTGTACTAGAACCTGATTTGACACACAATAAAAACTCTAGTCAACATTTTCCAGACATACATGTTACTTTTTGTTGAGCTTTCTTTTCCTGGTTATTCCAGTGTTTATCTGTCTATAGAAGCTTTAAAGTTATTCTTTGCTTCCTTTTCAAAAGAAGTAAAGTTCTTGTGGATTAAAGTGCTTTTTTAAATTTCTTTTTTTTTAGCCGACAAACTTTTTTTACCCAAGAAAAGTAAGAATAAACATAGTTGCCTATAATTGCTTACATCCACTTCATTTAAACTTGGGTGGATAGTTGTCTCATTGGCAATCACATCACATCTCCTTATTTTTATATAAAATGTTTAAACTTGTGATACCAACTCCATGAAAATACTAAGACAATCAAGATGTATCTTAAAATATAACTTGTTAGTGCTCAACATCAAAACAAAGAATATTTCTTATGATTCTTTTAATTAACTGATCCTTTTTTGTTTCAAGAATAATTCGAAGCCAAATTTATTGTCCCCCTCCCCCCCCCCACCCAAACCAAATTAAGTTGTCTTCAAACATTTTTGTCTGTGATAATCTTCATTGATTATAGCTTCCTATCTGCATTTTGCTGGCTTATCAAAGCATGCAGTTTTTGGTTATTACTTCCTATCTGACTTTGCTCAGCTTATCAAAACATGCAGTTTTTTGGTTATTAAACTATTTAACATTCATTCTACTAACCAGTAAACAATCATTAAACAGGAAAACTTCTCGTTGATGTAAGCCTATCTTCTCTTTCTTATTTGGGTCGTGAACCTCATACAATCTACAGTAACACACCAGTCGTCTGTGAGGTAATGCTAGTTGCTGGAACAAATAATCAATAAATGTATTATAATTGTAATGAATCTTATTAACTCTAAGACATACCTTTAATGAAATCGGTCTAGACAAAAACCTTTTAGTATTCACATTTTTTTTCACAATGTTGCTCTATTCAGTACAGAGAGTATTTTCTGACAGAGGAGGTCTGCTTATAGTGGATATAGATTACTTTTTACTGTAAATGCGTTCCGAGTTTTTTCCTAGGTGCATAACCTTCTTAAAATTGCTGATGGGCAAAAAAAATTGAGTAAGCTTTTTATATTCAAATTACTAAATATGTGCATTTTAAACCTGTACAATACATTCAAATGGCAGTAAGATAATACGTGATAAAATCAAATGCATTTATCAGTGACAACTGTCAACAAAGTGTCCAAATCCATCATGAATTCCCCCCTTTCTTCAACAATGAATAAAATCACATTAGGGACTTAACTTTTCTACACTTTTAAGACATATATTTTTCATGTTTCAATATGTTTTGTTAGTGCAGACAAAGTAGACAGGTATAAACCTATTTGTTTTGATACTTGCTGTACTCAAGACATCCACACTAGTAATTATGTTCTATGTTTACTATCACTTACTGGTTTCTTGCCAACAATCGTCTGCTCGACCTTCATGACTTGAGTCACATGATCCACGCCAGCACGGAATTCTGTCAGTTTGATTCTGTCATATATACCAAGTAATATATCTCTGTCTATATCATATCCATCGTCAAGATCTATAGAAAGATAACAGAACAAAAGTGTTAAGAAGTTAAATCAAATTTATCAAAGCATTTTCACTTTTTCTATATAGTTGATGATAAGGTACAAACAAAGTCTTTGGTACACAATCTTTATACATTGTAGAGACAAGATCTTACAAATGAAAGAAAAAATAAACAACAAAATATGTTCATGGGATGCAGATACTCTATCTAGGATTAACATCAATATTTCAGGAGGGGAGTGTTTTTATGTCCACTTAAAGATATTGTTCTGAAATTAACCAAAATTTGGCAATTTTTGGCTTTATCAGTGAATACACTAGAAAGTCAAATTTAAATCAGTCAAATTTGATTTTTGATTTTGTTGTACTTAATGACATTCCCAATTTATAATTGATTTGGTGGAGGCTGACACAAGTCATTATTCCGAAACCAATTTAAGGACATATGTACTTACATACAAATTAAAACTATAAAAAGTGCAAAAAAAAATCAAATTAAACAAATAATTTTTATCTATAAAATATTTGTTCTTCCTGAAAAAGTAAACAATTCACACCTACAGAAAAGAAAAATATTTATATGTATGTATGTTTTCTGAACTTCTTCTGAAGAGGATGAGCTTCTAAGAAAAAATAATAAGTGTTCTAATTCCCGGTATTCAAACCAGGATTAAGATCAGTGAATAAATTGGCAAAAAAATGACTTTGTCCTTACTCACATCGTGTACTTTACAAACAAAATATCAATCAAGAATTAATCGGAAGTGTGTATTTGTAAAGAAGCCAAACCAACAAGTTTCAGGAAGAGCTTGGATCCCTGGGCAACCAATGCAATTTGAAATTAATTTCCTCAAAATAAACATCAAACTTTTAAAACTTCAATCAGTACTTTAAGATACCATCAAAATGTTCAAATCTGATAAAAATAAGCCTAGAATTTAGGAAATTTAAAAAATGAACTTCAAAACTTATCATCTTGCATGCTCTCTCACCTCTCTCTAAGCCACACAAATAGAAAAGCTGGTTACTACAAAAGTATACATTTCAATTTAAATTCTATCAATTGCTCCTAATTCATTTATTAATATCCTAGGTCAGATTCAATTTTCATAGGTGGAAGTCATTAAATTTTCCGGATCATTTATTCATTTTCAAAGGTCATTCTCCAAACTTTTGATAGAATTTAAAAGTTAATCAAGCATTATGCCTTGTTAAATTAATGCATTGAAGACACACACGTATTTATTCATGGACATGCAGGGTCATTTAGATATGATTATTCATGACAGACTGCTGAAGGGTGAGACAGGAAGAAAAGTATCCAGTACCAAATATCTGTTGACTTCTGGTGACATTTTATTCCTAACAATAGAAATTAATATATCTAATGGCTGTTTAATAGTTTTCAACATTTCTCTACTTTTTCTTTGATATTCACATTTTTTTTTCAATCCCATTTCTTTTTTGAAAAGTTTCACGAGTGCATAGATATAGCATTACAGCTGAAACCATACCAATATTCTAGTACATGGTCAGTTCAACATCATTAACTATCATAAAAATTGTAGGTGGTCACCAAAAAGTAAAATTTCTAAGATGAAGTTTTTGTAAATTCAAAGTCATATCAAGCAAGCTGTTTCTCCTGAGAAATACTAATTTCAATACTAAACAACTGCTCACAGAGCTCTTGATAAAATACATGTTGAACTGGCCATTTTCAAGCACATTGATTCAACCTGTAATGGTTGAATTTTCAGATTCTGTGTAATTATAATACACTTTGTTATTTTATAAAAGTATTTTCTTTGTCTTGATCCATATAAAAATTGAATAAATAATTCAGTATAGTCTGAATCATGCCCAAGGGATCTTTCTTACTTATTTTATCATTAATCTAAAATCCCCCATCTGACCATATGTCAAGTTTAACTTTTGTAATTAAGCAAAATATTTGGCATTTAATGGTTTTCTGATAGGTGTTGAAAAGAAGTCTGGTTCTGACCATTCAAACCCACATCCAAATGTCAAAATGGCCAGATAATTCCTGTAAAACAGAAGCTATAATTGACTAAAGATAGCTCTAGTTAATTACTGCTATCAGACAGAACAACTTTACTGACATATGTCAAACACAACTCATGGATGGCCAGTTAAGGATTGCCAATAGAAACTGACAAAATAAATTACTCAACTATTTCACAAAAATAATAAAAAAACATGGATTTGTTAGGGCTGCAATAAATCCTAAAAGGTATGACTGACGTCAGAGCTATCTCCGACTACATTATGGGAAACTTAAATTTGTTATAATCAGTAAGAATGATTAATCGTGACAACAAAATCGCAGCAAAATGATCAATCCTAGCGTAAGGAAGGAACTACACAGGTTAAGATAGTATGCAACCATCCTAAACTTTTATTAGATAACAGAACTCCTAAAATATGCATCTGACTGACAAAACATTGTCAACTGATAAAAATTTGACAAAGGTGTGAAGTGTTAAAATATAGATTATATCACTACAGTCCTTTTTGACCTCCAGTAAAAGAGAGTTCATCTGATAATGTGCACTGTACTGATCATAATAAACATTGATAAATATCAATCATAATCTACCTATTATCATTCCTGTTTATCTTACCCGTGTGGAAAGGAGAAGTTTATCAGCAATAAAACAGATACGATGTCCAAAACATTCAAATAAAAACTCTCTTAAATGCACCGAAATGCACAATTTTATTTCTATTTTACGATTTTTTTACTTTCAAGTAAAACTTAAAGCAGTTTTCCAGAGATGTTATCAATTTATAGAATCTTCAGGTGGTCTTCAGGAAGATAAGTTCACTCTACAAATGTTGCAAATCCATCAAAATAGTGCCAATATAAAACAAACAGGTGTTATTAACAGATAGACATAGCTGATGCTTACATGCAAACCCTCTCAATCACAATGCACATTGATTAGTGCTATTTCATCCAACAAAACTTGCTCAACCTGTTTTCTATCAGAGACTCTCATATGGAGGTACAAATATAAAATGCTGGTTGTTAAATCTGTTAGTCCTATAAGTCTGCTACTTTGACATTACACTGACAACATGCACAGACTAACCAAACACATAAAATTACTCAATTATTATTCAAATAGATCTTCTCCAAACCTGTGAACCAATTTTGTTCAGTTGTGCAATTATCTATATTTCTATATGCTTTCCTAACTCTGGTTTAATCATTTAACATAATAATTATGGCAAAGAAAATGAACAACAGAACAGGACAAAATTTTACTCCTCTGGCTATTAAACACTCCAACTGAGTGTACTCAAAAAATATATCGTCTCAGACTATCTAATACTGCAAAACATCATTATTTTAAAAAGATAATTCTGTAAAACAATACAACCATCCGTATAAAGATTACAGCCTCCTCAATTGTTCACATGATACTAAATGTGGGCAACACTTAAATCAAATGTCCTTGGATTACTGTCTCCACAATTTAAAGAAATTACCAACCTTTCATTTTCACATGTATTAATATGATACTTCGACCCCTAAAGCTATATACTTAATTAGATGTCATCAGTTTAAGCTTTGTCATCCTGTCAAAGTCTACCACATATCATCGAAAGGTTAATTTCATATATTAACATCCAAAAGAAAGACAGTTTCAGTTAATTATTTTACAGATATAAACATTTTGAATAAGATATGACAAGAAGTTTCCTGATGAGAAGAATTATCCATGAAACAAATTAATCTTTAAGATTGCCCTTTTTTCTCCGATGTAGGAGGTATGTGTAGGATGGCTTATTAAAAGGTACATGAAAAAGGTGATAATACAGTATTACCAGCTTTTTCATTTTACTACCGCAAAGGCAGAAATTAAAAAGAAGCAAATCTGCTTCAGTGCTATCTTATACAAACTGCTCTGTTTTCATGGAAAAATGGGTGTGATCAAACGTAATACCAACATCAGATATAACAGTAGTAGAAAAATCTCTTATAAGCCTAAAGATTTTAACTTGAATGATACAATATCTTTTTAACACCCCTAGTACATAAGAGACCTTATAAAACAATCATTCATCATTAAAGGAGGCAGGTTTTTTCTCTCTCCCAAAAAAGCTGAGATCAAATACTGCTAACTTAAGCAATAGATAGCATACAAACAGAAAGACAACACACATATCCTTGATCTTTTGCTGGATGTCAGTTTCATACTATAATGTACTTTTCACCTGTTTGTTTCACCCTTGTCCAACATATTTACACTGATGTAAACAATAACAACAATACATCTGATAAATAGTTGATCCCATGCCAGGTCAAGGAAATTGGACATCTCTGTCCAAGAACAATATTATCATTTTTGAAATGGTTACCAACATTTTCACTATTTGTACTTATCATCATAGTTTGCATGAAATATTTGGAACTGGAGGTACTCAACCAAAGACAAATAAAACAAACCACTTTCACATCTATCCTTTTTGTTAATCCCAAGTAAAAATTTTGGTGAGAAGCAGATACTCCCAATTATCATGCCTTTTTTTCAATGAAGTCCAATAATTGAACAAAATCAATCATTTGACTTTAAAATAAAACAAATAAATGCAGTTTTTTAGTAATTTTCATATAGTGTTGTAAAATTTCAAGTATCTCCAACTATGAAAACTAAGAAAACTGGTACGTTTTTAACACCATGAAAAGTGCTTAGATTTACAATCACTTGATAAAATGCTTAAATTTTCCTAAGCAATAACAAATGTCAATTAAAACAAGAAAGAAAATTATTCATTTTTTTCCCTTCCCTGTTTTGAATTAACACCCCCATCTTTTAACAGAATTCTTGGATTTCAAGACACTTTATGGCCCGTTTTCTTTCTTCTAATTAAAAGACATAATCTTATTGTGAAATATTCATTTATTCCACTGCTTTAGGTTACAGACACCTTGACTGAGTTGGCTGCTTATTTAACCCTCTAGGTACTTTTTAATAAACACATGTTGCAAAGATTCCACAAACAAAGAGAATGAAACTTGATCACCGTCCTTTATTACAAATAAATGATTACTATTTAATGTAAAATGACCTTATCCTTTGGAGACAGCCATGAACTATCTCTACTCTAGTTTTACTGATAAATTGCAAATTGATACTAATAATAGGTTGATATCAACATTACATGATGTTTAATTTTTTCTTGTTTAAAAAAGTACCGGTACTGAATTTCCATTTTCTCCTTTTCACAAGTGTCTGTGTATGGAAATTGAATATACAGGATGAACAATTCCACCCACAAAGATGGGAAATGACAGAGAGACCAGCCTTTAAATAGGCCATTTCCTTAAAACCTTTATAATGTAATGCATGTTGAAAAAAAGGGGGGAAGAAAATGAAAAGGGCAATACAATTCATAAGTCAAAGAAAACCAGACAACACCATGTGGAAAATTAAAAGATCAAGACAAACAACAGTCCACAAAACACTAATAAAATAAACCCAACAGATAAAGCAACACCAGCCCCTCCAAAAAATGAGGGGTGTTGAGGTGCACTCCTATAAAGATTAAAAAAAAACACCCTTTTTGATATTTTTCATGATCAGGGCATGGACTAGGTAGGAAGTATTTAAGCACATATATTTACCTCTTAAGTTTTTAATAAAATCTTCTGGTTTCATTCGTCGTTCTGGTTTAATACTGTTATTATGAAGGTCTGTGTTTAACATGATAATGGCAAACGCTAACAGGAATATTGTATCTGGATTCTTAAAGCTCTTGATTTGGTCGGGATTGCACATACAAAATCTGGAAGCAAAGGCCTGCAAAAAAATAGAAACCATGGAAAGTGTTATCAATATTTCAGTATTTTTATATCAATAATTTGATACAAACAATGTTTGGATCATTTTCATTTGAACATTTCCCTGAAAGAAGTCAACTCAAACTTTTCGTTGAAAACAGGCAGATATAAGGGTCTATTATCCCCAATTAGTTTAAAATTTTGGTAAGTTTCTAATTTAATGTTGAAATTGCAATGATTTTAAATGAATACAATACAGTAGTGTTTGATAGCAGAATGTTTAGCTATTTCGGAATCCTTTAAGAGCCTCATCATGATATACTTTGTATAATTATAACATCTAAGACTGTTTTATTTAGTTAATTGCACAGGTAATGGTTTACTACCACATTAAAGCTGTAAAGTAATCAAATCATAATAATAGCTCATTACAGACATGGGCTCTTTAAAAACAATGTTCTAATGTAATCAAGTGCACCTTTGATAGTTTATTCTATACTTAAAAATAAAGTGATCATATAGATATTATGGCAACCTTGCAATTTTTATAGATTTATGAAAGTTGAATTTTCTTCTTCTTCAGATTTCAAAAAGCCATGGATACATTGTAATGCACTTAATTTTCTACTATTACTGGAAACATACAAAACACATTTTTTTTTAATATATATTCAAATTTTCTGCAAACCCCCACAACTGTGCCTCATTAATTTTAGATCTATTAATTAACACAAATAACATCGTAGTCATGATTATTTTTTGTAGCCTCCACATCAATAGTTACAAAACAAATCTGCTCCTTATGAAACCATCATTCGTGACTTGTAGACTAATCTATATTTAATCATAATCTGTATTTTAGTCCATAATCAATACAACAGACCTTTTTTTTGTCACAATGCTTCAATTAATGCACCAATGCAGAATAGTAATTTGCTGCTAACGATAATATGGATTTATAGTCATCATTTTCTTTCAGATAATTTTGTTGACATATCTAATTCATTCTTTTACGCATGAAAAAATGTTTTGGTTTTATTGATCAACCATAAATTTATAAATAACTTCCGAGATCCTAAAATTCTTTACAAATATTGAAAAATATCTTGTTCTTGAAAAGCTGTTGGAAGAAACTATCTTATCTCATTGCAATAAAATTTGAAGTGTACAGATAATGCTTTGAAACATGCAAGCCATTACAGGTAGCAAATCATTTCAGGTTGTTGCTTTATTTGGTTATGGTTTTCAGACCAACCATTTACCATGGTAACTAACAAAAACTCAATGTTATGTAATCAAGAAGGTTATAAAATTTATATTTTCATATAAATTTTTGATGACTAAGTCATGATTAATTTAAATGTGAAAATATTGAATTGTATGAAGGTCTTGGTTATAGTTTTATTGATATAATTCTGCAGCCGAAGCTAATTAGGGTTTTCATTAGCACTTTTGTACTGTAACTGATGTACTTTAATAGTATTACTTATATATGAATCCAGAGAACTTCATTTCACATAATATATACTTCCAATCTGTTATATATACTTTTGACCGAACTACATTTATGTGAAAAGCAGGCCTCAGATGTATTACCCTTGGAAATTGCCATTTTTGCGAATTTTTCATGCTAAAAAATCTGAAAAAGTTAGAAACTTACAAAGGACTAAACAGAACTATGTCCTGTCAGTGTTTTTGTTTCACATTTTTCTTTGTATCGATCTGATAAGTTAAGCCTTTCTCAAATAATTTTGATAGTTTGTTATATATTGTGCTGTTACACCACTGTCCCAGGTTAGGGGGAGGGTTGAGCGCTCACAAACATGTTTAACCCTGCCACATTCTTTATGTGCCTGTCCCAAGTCAGGAGCCTGTAGTTAAGTGATTGTTGTTGGTTGACGCCTGTCATATTTGTTTTTCGTAAATTGTTTTGTTATAAATTAGGCTGTTAATTTTCTCAATTGAATTGTTTCATATTTTTTATGTCAGGGCCTTTTATAGCTGACTATACAGTATGGGTTTTTCTCATTTTTGAAGGTGGTATGGTTACCTATAATTACCTTTATCCACTTTATTTGAACTTTGGTGGATAGTTGTTTCATTGGAAATCATACCACATTGCTTTATTTTTACATGACTGCATAAAATAATGCTTAAAAATTTGGGAGTTTCATTTCCTTATTACTGTATTTCGTTATATCCTGAATCACTTTGAAGACTAAGAGTTGCAAGGACACGTCTTTCCCTAATAAAATGTAATAAGAGAAGGGACCTTTCAAATCATCAATTAATTCATCTCATGTAACCTTCCCTAATTATAAAGTAGGTCTGTTTTCAATCTTTTGAAAAGTATAATAGAAGAGTAAAACCCTATCATTATCTTGTTTTGAAAGTGTCCATTTTGGTACAAGTTTGACAAATGTTTAACATTGTGGTTTAAACAAGATATTACAAAGGTTAATCCATATTATCCAGGGTGTAGTTGTATTATTTCTAAAGATTGTGATTTAACCTGCTGTCAGTAATGACTTTACTGCACTATATAAATCAAGGACCTACCTCCATAAGTCTTTCAATCTTTTGAGCTTCACCCTGAAAGTAGATATATATTTAGGATTTCTTGTTAATGCTTTATCTTTGTTCTATATTCTTGCTTTTTTTGTCCAATTATTGCCATTGTTATCTGTTAATAACATAATACTGTTTTTTTCTTCTAATTTATCATAAGGGTGTTTTCGGATTCTTCCGTGATAAGAACTGTTTACCGGTAACAATAATTTTTAAGAAATGTCTTTTAAAATTGTTTGTTTCTATCAAACTTCAAAAGAGTAGCTCTAGATAGGCAGGTAGTTATCAGAAACAACAAAGATCGTCAACCTTAGGTTTTCAAGTTTATGCCTATAAGTCTTCTATCCATCAGTCTGGCTGAGTTTTTTATGTCTGTCAAATGAACTTTAATTCAATGTGTTGTTCATGTATAACAGGCCCAGAGTCAAATTAAAAAGAAATTTAGCTTCAATTTGAATATTTTCTCCCTGTTTTGAAGTTATAATGCAAAAAAAAAAATGTGCTTTATGTATGAATAATAAAGAATATTATAGAACAAAACAGACTTAATAAGCAATGTTGTTTATGAAATCAATGCTGATTTACATATATACTAATGGGAGTAAATCCTTTTGATCTCTCATAAGTCTATATGACCATAAAACAAATTTTGCTGACAATGTTCTTTTCTTTTACAGTGAAACGTCTATAAACAGAACCAATCTAGGATATGCAGATTACTACAGCATTTAGAATCCTACCATATTGAGCATACAAATTTTAAAAGAGAGGTGAAAGATACCAAAGGGATATTCAAACTCGTAAGTCAAAAATAAACTGACAATGCCATGACAAAAAAAACAAAAACAACCAATAAAAACATCAGTATACGAAACATCACATAGAAAACTAAAAACTGAGATTTACCAACCCACTAAAAACTGGGGGTGATCTCAGGTGACAGGTGGAGTAAGGAGATCCTGCTCCACATATGGCACCCATCATGATGCTCGTAAGAATTTTATACCTTTTTAAGAGTTCATGCTTTTTTATAAGATTTTATGTATCTGGGTCACTTAAAGAATTGGTACATATTTTTCTGCAAGGAAATACGTAGATAGTTGTCTTATAGTAGACAATTTGTTTCTGATTTCTTCCTTTGAATCTTCTTACTTTTCTTACAATCGTACAAAAAATATATTTCTAAACTTACAGGCATTCTAAAAAAGGACTGAAACTTCCGCAAGGCCATGTCTATCTGGAGTCCAGCGAGATCTATTTCCTGAGAAAAGTATCTGAAATAAAAGAGAAAACATAGAATTTTACCAAAACATCATCAATGCTTTTGCTTGAACTTTTGTCTGTTGGGAAGTCTCAATTTAAGCAACAAACCCTGACCAACATTGGCAAACTTCCCTTGGTGCATAACCCCTTTTTCATGTATGATTTCATACCTTTTAAGTTCTGTAAATGGTTAAGAAGTTCTTTAATAAATATACTTAGCATTTTTTGTGAATGAGCAGATTTGTTAAAAATAGATATGACAGAATATGTCCTAGAACATGTTAGATACATAACATATTGTTATAGCACTAATATTGGCAAATACTGTCCCTTTGTTTAAAGGATACTTTATTGCATGTGCTTCTGAATGTAATTAACATTCTAAGAGGGATGTTTTCCACCAACACTTATGCTTTAATTATTTTGCAAAGTATTTACAGTGACATTAATAAACCATGCTCAACAACTCTCAGTCACTATTGTGCAAGCATTTCTGTACTTGTGCAATACCCTGGAGTGATGCCTCTTACGTGGGGTTACATTCACTTTCTACTTGGAATACTAAGTGGTTTTACAATAACAAAAAAGATGGATAAATCATGACTGGCTGTATACCATTCCACTCAGCTTTTACTTGATTACTATTGATAGTTTCGACTTAAATGACCCTTGCAATAGTAAAACCATATTTTAAATTATTGTGGTGGATTATTATACCAGATTTAATGCACCCCTGTTAAATGCATTTAATGTTAATCTCTTTCATTCATAGCGAAAAATCTTATCAAAATAAATGGAAACACATGTCTGCAAAAACATAAATCATGCCGTAAGGGATTTTTACTGACCAAGAAATCTGATTACGATTTGAACAGTTTAATAATGTAATTATTTGGTTGGTTAGGTTTACTTAATACTATGGAAAGCCATATATCTTTTTCCATACATGAACAGAGACTTATAGTTATCAGAACTAGACATCTATTTATTGTATTGCAAAGTCTTCAAATAAAGAAGTCTGAGTATAGGCCAGTACACCACCATTAGCCAGAAGTTAGTGTTGTTTTCACATACCAGTAATGGGATTACCAAAATATTTCTCAAAATTTTGCCTTACCAGCATTATTCATATCTAAGTCTGTCAAAGAATTAAGCATGGTTTTAAGCTGTTAACTATATTTTCATTTTCAAATGGCAATTGAGAAAATGCCTTCATCACAATATGCCTCGAATCAAAAAAAAAAGAAAAAAAAAGAAAAAAAGTTTGAACTTTGTTCAGTTTTTTTAAATCTAAATTTGTACCCTAAGAGAATAATAGACCATAAGATAAAGAAAAAGAAGAGATGCAGCTTTACAAATTCATCCATTAATTTCTGCAGATGTCAAAAACCCATCAGAACCTAAATCCAAATAAGGATATTACTACTTTCCTGTTTTTACCCCCATGGCTCCATGTAAACAAAAAAAATGTAACACTGTTTATGATAACCTGATCCTGTCCTATGAAAATTTATACTTTAATAGCCTTATAATTCAAGTTTGTGACAGCTGGCCTTATTCTGACAAATCAAAATAATTTACTTTTCAACACTAGTACAAGGTGATTATTATCCAAATTTAAAAGGTCATTTCATAAATAAAGGAGGTAGATTGTGTTTCTTCTTATTTCATACTATCTATACATACACAAAAGTAGACTATCTGATTATGAAGTCTTTAATAGTTTCGCCATGTGTTGCATGTTGTCTTTTATAATATTAAAATTTTAACTATAAAGAAACTGATTTTAATCAAAATGTACCAAACTCAATAATAAATGTACTGAGCTTGTAATTCAGTGGTTGTCGTTGGTTCATGGTGGCCAAATTTGTTTTGTTACAAAATAGGCTGTTAGTTTTATCCTCTGAATTGTCCTTTTGTCATGTCAGGGCCTTATATAGCAGAATTTACACTATAGGTTTTGTTCATTGTTGAAGGTCCTAGGGTGACATGTAGTTGCTAACATCCACATCATTTGGACTCTGGTGGAGAGTTTTCTAAATAGGCAATCGCACCACATCTACCATACTTATTTATACACAGATAGTTGCTTGCTTAAAGTCAAAGTAAGAATGCATCATTCTCAATGTCAGATGTGTCAAACATTTTGGAAGGCCAGATCAAAAGTAAAATCATTAAAACTTCAATGCAATGCTGCTGACACCAGTTGCATCCTTAATTAGCTAAAAGTGGTTTCAAAAATAAAAAGCTTTACATCATTATCTAAGCATCAATTGACGTCAGCAGTGATCTTTCAAAACATACATATCTACATGAATAGAAAGCAAAAAGTATTCCAAGAAATCCCAAACAAATTAGCCCCTATTCTAAAACCTTTTGTAATTATATAATTGTGGATAAGTAAAATGTAAATCAAATGGTGATTTTTTATCACATTATATACCTTTTTCATACTCAATTTTTAAATATACTTTAGATTAATAATGTTTTACTATCATCAAAATACAAAGAGGAGAATGTATGAACCATTTCAGTCTTAACACAACCACTTAAAATATTGTTTTTATAAGTAGACTAATTATACATCGGTCTGATCTGGCAATAATCCAGAATTTTTTTTAAAAGGGGGGTTTCCACCCTTATTTTTTTTTATTTGACTTCATAAGAAAATGCAACGAAAGGGGTCTTATTCTTGAAAACCCTCTTGGGATCTGCAAATGGCTTTGATAACTACCACTCTAATAACAAATCAATGAAAAAGTGCAAAAAGAGGAAGGCATTGAAATATAAATCTTAGCTCGAATGGTTGTGATTCAAAATAGGCTAAACTGCATTCATTGTTCTTCTGTCAATAGATATAAGAAGATGTGGTATGAGTGCCAATGAGACAACTCTCCATCCAAGTCAAAATTTATAAAAGTAAACCCTTATAGGTCAAAGTACGGTCTTCAACACGTAGCCTTGGCTCACACCAAACAGCAAGCTATAAAGGGCCCCAAAAATTACTAGTGTAAAACCATTCAAACGGGAAAACCAACGGTCTAAGTACTGATTTAAATAATTCCCATCTTTAAGACTTTTTTTTATAGAATGTTCACCTTTTGAATCAGCAGAACTTTCAGATATATTACCAGTATGCCATCTCTTAAACATCAAGAACAATAAAAATCCTCCCACTAGGAAACTACTTTCACGATTTTCTAAGAATTACTAAATATCAACTACTCCCACTGAACCATGGAAAACCCAGCAGCAATCTTTCTTTTTACATTCTGAAGTGTGCCCTGTCTCATAACTTCTAATTATTTTTATGTTATTAACATCTTCTTCAATGGTTTCCTTGTTGTTTTAATGTAATTCAAAACATGTTCAGCAGAACCCCCAAAACAACAAGGAATTCCATTAATGGCATATGTCATCCCTAACAAAGAAAAATGCATTTCAGGAAAAACTTTACAGATGCTGCAGTAATGGCATTTAGTGTGGGGTCAAAAGATGAAACGTACTTTTAGGGTTTGGATAGACAGATGGACAAACAAACAAAACGGTTTCTGTATACTTGTCCACTTCTTATATACCAAAGATAATATACAAGGACTGAAAGAATGATTATAATTTATAAAACAAATAGAAAACTTATCAATCTGCATTTGTGTCGGTTACTTAAAGTAAAATACCATCAACTTCCAATTTCCAGGTCCAACCGATGTTAAAACTTCCAGAACTGTATAATGATTGGTTTTTAAGTAAACATCTCAATTCATTCCAGGCTACAGATCTACTTAGTATTATCGGAATCAATCTCATTGATTCCATGATGAAGATTTGTACCGCCAGAAAGTTTAGTAGGATTGATATAAAACACTACATCAGCGGTAAATTGGACTCGTGATTTTAGACTCAAACTAATCTTTTACAGATAAATGCTTAAGATGGTGAAGAAAGGATAATAAAATCCAACTAATAAAGAAGAAATCAATGCAATTTCAATCTTGAAATTGGATGCTTCATAAGATTTATACAGGATTCAGAATCTATAAGATCTTCTGTTATTTGTAACGGCAAACTAATTCATTGACTTCACGGAAATAATTTCCATCATTACATTACATAATCATAATTATTTTAACACAAAAGAAAAGCACATGGAACATCTTTGGTTTGTTTTTATTCAGTCTAATAATAGTAGTTGTGCAATTAGTAAGAGTTATGGCAGAATTAAAACAGTACACTCAAAGGTGTTGTATTATTAAAACATTCCCCCTTTGTAATACTTTGTGCAACTATATACATTTCAATCTCATTTAAGAAATACTCTTTGATCCTTCAGAACCCAACAACTGAATGTTTAATTGACTGTCACTCTGGTATCTTTTGTCCCTCTTTTAATGTCCAGTGGCAAACATAACATGTGTTTTAAGGGAGACTTAATGCTGCTATACTGCATCAAGACCCTTGGTTTAGCTAATATCTTTAAAACTTGGGAAAATATGCATGTGGGTGACTAAAATGGTTATTTAACTTCTATCTCATTTGGTCTCTTGTGGAGATTGTCTCTTTGCCAATCATACCACATCTTCTTATTTTTATACGATGAATATAAAAATGCTAAGCAAAAATCACTGATAAAAAATTATGCAATATAAATGTGTGTTCAATAATTTATATACTTAGAGACTGTTGCAAATTCATTTTTCTACCTCATGGTTTGAATGGTAAAGTGTTCATTGGACAACTTCCAGTTTATGAAGCTTGAGTGTTTTGATATGTTGTAACTTTTCCAACTTGATGAAAAATACATCATTTTGAACTGATTAGCTGATTTATCATATCAGAATAAGATTTGCAATGTTGAATCAAACTAAGATAACTTTAAATCATCTTGAAGCTTGCTTAAAAAAATTTGATCAGAATTTCTTTGGGGAGGACTTGTTGACAAATTATCTCACAAAATGAAACCAAGTTTCATTCAATTTACAGCAAAGTTTGCAATCAGTATTAGTCCCCTATT